GGTCGTACGACCGAAACAATACAGAAATCATCGACAATGAAGAGTTTCTGCGTGAAATTGTGCCTGGTTTATATGCATTGCCTAATATGCACGAGTCACACAAACGACTATTTGCAATTATAGCGCTGTATCTAGCCACAACTGATAGTGTTTTGGTTACATATGAATTCAAGCAACAAGTAATTTCACACCTACACGAAATATTTGACATTCAAGAGGATGCTGACATTAGCAAGTTAGTTGAGGAAACAACAAGTGCTGGTGATACGGGATGGCAATGATGGTTTCCGAATACAAGAAATTGATGGTGCACCTGGTGCGGAGAATGCTCAAAATATGAATGTACAAGATCTTCACAACGAGATAATAGGACTGACGGCTGAAGTGCGACATTTAAAACAAATGATGGAAGAAGATAAACTAGAGTATACTGCACAAAGTACAAGACTAATGAAGTTACTGCAAAGAACCAAAAGAGAGATGGCAGCAGGTTTTCATCGCTTGGATTTACCATACAGAGCTAGGCACAATGCACAGAACGCACCACCGCAACAAAATAATCATCCGCAGAATAACCCACAGCAGAATCAACAACCACATTTTAACCACCAACAACAACAAGATATACGGGAAGCAAAGTTAAGTAAAGGGCCTAAGACATAATGGAACCTATGGCTAGAATACGAGGAAGGCCTTGAGACCAACAAGGCAGCCAAAAACTTCACACCACGGGAACGAGGCCGTGTGAAAAGTGTATATAATCATAGGAATCACTTTTGGAAAGCAATGGAGAAGATCATATCGAGAGGACACAGCGCTCAAGATGCCATTGATAAACTTGAAACCGCTTATGGCATGAAACTATCTGTATCTGCTATGTGTCGAGCGCTAAAGAACGACAAAGAACATACACAAGTGCAACTAAACCCACAACAACAGCAGCAAATGGGCTAAATTCGCCCTATTGTACTTATAAACTAGAATGTATAAGTATGGGACCTGTGCTAGAATCTTTTGATTTTTTTTGTAAAACAATAAAAGTTTTTGGAAATATCTTTTCTAATTCAGGGGCATATGTACATAAATATTTAGCCATATTTGTTTATGTTTTTTGACATCTGACACATCGCGGTCACTCAGTCAGCACTCAGAGCACTCAGAAGTGAGCCTACACGCGTTTCGAGTGTCGACTAGACTTCTATCTGTAATACGTAAACACGCTTTCAAATCGATACGTTAACGTAAAACGCACTATTAGTTTGCTTTTAGTTGGACAGCATAACAGCTGTTAACTGGTCCAGGTAGTTCAGATCCAAACGAGAAAGGTTTTTGGAATTGGCTTCTGAATTGTATACTTTGTACCTGTAAACGGGAAAACGATTTCGAAACTAAGCGTTAACGTAAAACATCTTACATTTCAGCATATATATTTAAAAAAAAATATGAAACCCGTACATATTGAAGTGGAGTCTGGACTCTGATGTCAGTGTGAAGTGTCGACTGTCGAGTGTCGTGTCACTCGTCGGCTCGTGACTACGTGACCTCGTGACATCGTGTTCGTACATATTTATTTACTGTGCCTTTTTACAAAAACAAAATAGTAAAACAAAACAAAATTACTCATGCCTTCTATTTTGTTTCTTTATATAAAAATACAAAGCAAAAAAACAAAGTGGGCTAGGTAAATACTAAATAAATACGCCATCCCCGGCTATGTATTATTTATTTATCTATTTATGTATTTTTCATAGCCCCAAATTAAATATACAAGAGGTTTTTTATTAAAAAATGACAATATTGAAGTGATTTCACCATTCAACAACTGACAAAGAGCCTATTTTGTTTAAAAAAAAACAAAATACAATAATAAGGCCGGTTTTGCTAACTTTGGAAAATATAGAGAAAATACAGCACTAAAAAAATAGTTGGTTTGAGAATTTTTGGAACTGTATATTCCCACACAATTTCAAAATATGCTGCCAGTTGTATTTGAAATATTGTCGAATATTCGCAAAGCAATTCCTTTTTGAATTCTGTTCTGGAGGCGAAAAATCGAAGACAGCGTTTTTGATTGACGTATATTAACCAGAGCCAGAGTTTTGGAAGACAATCGGAGTAATGTGAGTGAAAATTGAAGTAATCTGATAAATCACAACAAACAATTTCTTTCCCAAAGTAAAAAGAGGGTCTACCCTCATTTTGACTTTGAAGGAAATATACAACAAAACGAAATATTGTGTTGTATTTTTTACGTCTCGAATATCAGAATTTGATGTTGCCAAAATCGTCAGTACATCCGATTTCCAAAAGTATTGTGCTGAAAAATTATGGAAATCGATCCTCAATATTTTTCTGAATATTCCGAAATCTTGACCAAAAATCCATATGTGCTAGAAATACTGAAATTAGTTACCGGAGTAACATGTTTTACTCATCTCAAAATTTATTTCCCTATATTTTGCAAAGTTAGCAAAACCGGCCTAAATATTTTGACTCAGTATTTAGAGTATGTATTTATTTTTCCAAATGACTGACTCTCAACGCCATTGATGAGTAAATAATACTCATCTCTATCCAAACTTCGAAACAACTTCGAAACTCTGGAAAACTGTGTGCTTCATAGGCAATAAATGGACATAAAATAAGCACTGCTACAGGATGGCAAAAGAAGTTCACGTCCCGTGTGTCGACTGTCGAGTGTATGCCTGACTTTAATTAGTTTAACTAATAGAGGACATCTGACATTTTAAAATTAGTAACTAATGGACATCTGAATTAGTTTAACTAATAGAGGTCATCTGGCCTATAATTAGTTTAACTAATAGTGGACATCTGGCCTTTAATTAGTTTAACTAATTGAGGACATCTGGCCTTTAATTAGTTTCACTATTAGACGAGATCTGACCTCGTAAGCATGATCTAGCTAAAATATGCTGATAGATCACCGCTCAAGTCACCTCGGAGTTAGTGGGAGCCACTCCTTCTCTCTTCAACTTCCGCACATGGAATGCAAACTGAGAACCGTACCACGATGCACTGCGACACGTCCCCGTGCACCTGTGCATGAGGTGTAAATGTGTGATATACATTAGGTACATGCTTGTAACTCATCTGTGCATGAGGTGCAAATGTGTGATATATATAGGTACATGCTTGTAACTCATAAATGTGTGATATATATAGGTACTTGCTTGCAACTCATCTGTGCATAAGGTGCAAATGTGTGATATATACAAATACATAGTTGTGACGTGGGGTGCGAGTGCGAGTGTGCGATATATGCTTAAAGAGCCTCTTGCTAGATATAGGTACGATCTATAGATTTATTCAGTGTGTATTTGGTGTGAGTACGGGTAGGTATCATGCGCGTGTGGCGACATGATATGCAACGTATACATTTTCTTTCTTGCACCTTCAATATTTCTTAGAACGAACATTCATATACCAATTCAATGAATGAACAAACTCCCTGTGTCCCCGAACGCCTGGGATCTCCAAATGGCCCATGCACAACACAAGTCACACAACACACAACATATGTACAGACATCCCTCGTATACGAATATACATCGAGATTCGTGTCCACACAACACAATCAGTGGTTGATATAAATACGTGTCAGGCATAAATGACTGTAAGAAGGCATAGGCAAGGTATACAGATGTACAGATGTAAGACACGTCAATAAACTGGGTTTCACACCGTTAGGAGATACTTAACTATCAAGGTAGGTATATAAATACAAAGGTGGGTGTATGAATACAAAGGTAGGTATATGAATACAAAGATATGTATATGGATACAAAGGTATGTATATGAGTACAGCTTGCATATCGTCCAGTGCCTCACAGATAGCTTTTTGCTCAGAGGGATACAAAAGTAGTACCGATGCAGACCCGTAACAGTTTGCAATTTTATATGGCGTGCGTGTGCGCGTGTAGATAAAAGTATAGAACACAAGGTACATAGCATAGTATATAATGACAACTACATACTATGGTATTAACATATCTGTATTGTTTCAGATACATAGCATAGTATATGATGACTACTACATACTATGGTATTAACATAACTAGATTGTTTTAAGATACATAGCATAGTAGAGAATAATGAGTACAAAGTATATAATCGACTTAACAAGTTTGTCCGCATACATGCGCAAGCGTATGACTTAATGGGGCAAACGCACCCGTACTATCGCAGCGTATGCTCATCCGCAGTTTACAGTAGAGACGTTCCAAACAGACAATACAAATACGAGCACACACAAACACACGCACACACCCAACCACCCACCAGAACAGCCACACCTTCCCCGGCACATACATGGGTACAGACGCATGCATGCACGAACGCAAAGAGAACATGCACCGCGAGTACTATACCACGCCATTAGAGCACAGACATAGTCTGGGGATGTCAGACTATGTATTCACTTGCGGAATTCATGTGTACGTTTGATCGAGATTGGAGTACATGCAAAGTTGCAAACCCTAAAACCAAGCAAACCCAACTAACTCAGCTATAGACTGTACCTGTAGTAGGCACGGCCTGGGGTTTCTAACACTCGGTGGCACGGCAAGTCATCGACAACCTGTGGATTGCCCAGAAGAGTCCGAGCAGAATTAATGCAAGCGTATATATGCCACTCGTCAGTATTGCTATATTTATGTATGTAGACACTACTATATATTGATATATAGCCGGTATATATATATAAATATATATATATATGTATATATGTAAGTCATCAGCATTGCGATAAATATATATTTATAGATACTACTATTTTATAAGTATTCAGTATTGTTATATATATATATATATATATATATATATATATATATATATATATATATACATATATATATATATATATATATATACATATACATATATATATATATACATATATATATATATATATATATATATTTATATACATATATATAAAAATATATATCGTCAATAGAATAATTTGACATTTTAGTGTGTATATATATATATCGTCAGTAGAATGATTTGACATTTTAGTGTATATATATATATATATATATATATATATATATATATACATATATATATATATATATATATATATGTATATATATATACATATATATATATATATATATAAATATATATACATATATACATA